AGTAGGACAGGATGAGATCTAGTGGCTGTAGGATTTGGAGATGTCTGGGAAGTGAGATGGTTCAGCTTCGCTCAGTAACGCAGATACGCTGAGCTTACCTGTTCAGGTAGATGTCTTGTATTTTTCTAAGGTGTCAAGGAGAGAAAAAGGTCAGAAAATTGCTTAAACATGAACTAGCTTTTATGGGTTTTGATTGAGTTTCATTTCTCAAATGCAACTTAATACAAACAATACGTAAAAAGTGAATTCCTCTAGGAAAAAAAGCTATTAAGAGCGTGATTCTGTCTCAACAGCATGTGAAGCCGTGTAATTGCTTTCACATGTATCGCTCCCGTGCATGCTCCCAGTTGTTGAACAGTATCAAATTATAGGATTCAAAGAGAATGAACTACTTTTAAGAGAAATGTCTAGAAGCTACATATTGAAACATGATGAAAATTCAGGATTTCCAGCTTGCTTGTTTAAATCAGCAATTTTAATCGCATTATTCAAGGCAGCCCACCCTCAAACACACTTTTATGAATAATGCTTCAAAATACCCCAACCTGAACAAGACTGAAGACCTCATCCTGTCTCAAACATCTGGAATATTTTAAGGGACTAAGGCAATCTTTTTTGCTGGAAACGGAGACGTCCTTCTTGCTTTATCTAACAAAGCAGCATGCTTGTCCTGCTGTGGCATGAACCTGCACCGCTGTGCACAGCGGCGAGAAGAAATCCCTGTGGCAACGAAAGCTGCTTAAATACATCAGGGCCGAGATTTCTGCTCTGGGGTTTGGATGGTCTCGGTCAAATCTCGTTTAGGAAAGCGCGAAGAAGCAGAAGCAAGAAAGGTTTGTGTCTTCTCTGATGGCAACCTCCTTAATTCGATCGCGCCGGGTTTGTGAGCTCGTGCGCGCCGGGGTTCGCGTTTTCTTTTATTTACCGCTCGCTGAAAATAGAAACTGGGAGGACTGGTCACACGGGAGTCGCTCAGCCCTTCTGGAAGCTGCTCCTTTGCTTTCCTCCTCTCCCCTGGCAACCGAGTGAACTAATGTGGCCAGATGCACCAGGAGCACGACAGCCAGAATATACTGCGCTCTTCGAACGGCGACGTTTATTTCTGGCTGCGCTTGACAATTCAGGAGTTGCTTCAGCAAGTGCTGTGGTTGTAACTGGGGCTGTCCCAGTGCTTGTGACTCTGCGAGGAGCACCACTGGCTTTGGGAAGAGAAGGTCCCTGCTCACCTCTCGCTTTCTCCCCGCAGTGGTGTTTGTGCCTGTGGAGGAGGATGGCATCCTCATAGAATGGTTTGGGTTGGAAGATCATCTCATTCCAACGCCCCTGCCATGGGCAGGGACACCTTCCACTACACCAGGTTGCTCAAAGCCTCATCCAGCCTGGCCTTGAACACTTCCAGGGATGGGGCAGCCACAACTTCTCTGGGCAACCTGTTCCAGTGCCTCAACACCCTCAGAGTGAAAAATTTCTTCCTTATCTCCCCTCTTTCAGTTTAAAGCCATTGCCACGTGTCCTGTCACTACACACCTGTGTCCAAAGCCCCTCTCCAGCTTTCCTGTAGCCCCTTTAGGTACTGGAAGGCTGCTGGAAGGTCTCCCCAGAGCCTTCTCTTCTCCAGGCTGAACAGCCCCAACTCTCTCAGCCTGTCTCCATAGCAGAGGTGCTCCAGCCCTCAGATCATCTTTGTGGCCTCCTCTGGACCCGCTCCAACAGCTCCATGTCCTTCTTGTGCTGGGGACCCCAGAGCTGAACGCAGCACTGCAGAGGGGATCTCATGCATCTGCATGTTCTGCATGTGATACTATTTTATAGTAGTTTTGTTTCCCTTGCTGGCAGCCCCTTGCCTTGGTGCCTCCTGAACCAGGGAGAGGAGATGCACTGTTGTCCTCTTTGTGGAAATCCTACAAACTCCTTTTGACTGCCATATTCTGGCTGCATTACCTGCATCGCCTGCAAGGGGAACAGCTCAGCTATTGCAGCAGATTCCTGCAAAGCTCACCTCTTTCCTTTTTAGTGTAGGAAATGCTCTTCTAGACAGACATAGAGATTAAAGCTCTGGCATATCACAAGAAAAGGAGCAGGAAAAGGATTGGGTCCATCAGTGGAATGCATGCCAAGTGCAGAGGAGGCGTATCTAGCCTGTCCTTGGATAGCTTAAGATGGGAAGATAATTGCGTCCATCCCCTCGGATATCCAACCAATGCAACTTCCTACGGACAGGATAAGGTTGCGAGAAAGAGGAGCTATCGGAAATGCACCCTGCTTTAGTAGAAAATCCTCCAAAATGGGTTTTCCTCGTTTTTCTAAATGCATGTGTACCTACTGGTTGGCTTTAGGCTTTGAAACGTTTTTGTCTGCATTGTGACAAACATCCCAGTCTTGTGGAGCAAGCAGCAGGTCCTTTGATCAGTGACATGTCTCTTTGGTCTTCAAAAGTGGGGATCAATCCAGTCATTCCTTAGACTAGAGGACTTTGTCTTTGAGAACATGTGTTTGTTGTATGAAATAATGATCCTTGTCTTTGTGTCTGTCTGGTAGGAGATGCTACCTGTCTCCTACATGCTGTGGTATTGTATCCTAGATGTCTTTTGGGGTGGAAGGAAACAGATAAAGGAAAGACTGAATAGGGAAAACTCGTGGAGAGAGAGGAGCATGAGTAGTTGTGTGTCTGTCTGTCTGTCCATCCATGTGCAGCTGAGATCTCTGTGTTCATTCAGCTGCGACCCCGCTCCCCTGAGCAGGCAGATTTCCAGCATGAAAAGAAGATGAAGCAACCAAATAGTGCCACCTCTCCATCCCTCTGCGACCCCTGGCCAGCAGACTGTGCTTGCCATGAATTGTGACCAAAAAAACCCACTCTGAATTTCCCATCTTTTCTGCATTTAAAACCAAAGCTTAATGTATTCCTTGTATTTTTGTTGGCAGATAGCAGTGATCATATATTCCTTTTAATACAATATTTCCAAACCAACACAGCCTCGCCTCGGTACGCTTGATATTCAGCGTACCTGGCTGTACTCTGCGATATGCTTTGATTTCGCTTTGGCAGCTGTGTTTTATGCTCTCTATCCCAATCAGCAACCCATTCCCCTTTCTCCAAGTCTCCAAATCCGCTTCTGATGCGGAGTTTTAGTGCTCTCTTAGGAGTTGGCCCAGAGGGAGGAGGGAGCCGGCGCTCTGCTGGGCTCGGGGTCCCTCCTCCCCTGCGGCATGGAGCCAGCCCGGCTGCACGGGGATGCGTTCGGTGGGTTAGGGTGACATCTCTGCAGGCTTAAAATGGCACTTGGGTCAAAGGGGTGTTGCTGGAGTGGAGAGTGGTCGGCGGCGGATAACCTGCTCCTGTTCATCGTGAGGAATGAGGCTTTCGTATCGTTCTCTTGGGTGGGAGCGTGAGCTTTCAGCTCGCCTGTCCTGCACAAAGCTGGAAATGATGTACGTGCTCTGAAACAGCCCAACCTTTGTTTGTAGGTCAAGCTGTTCCTGCAGGGTCACACGTACGATTGAATCTGCAGACAGGAGAAAGAGAAGCCAAGCTCCCAGCCAGCGAGAATGGAAAAAGTGACACGAGAGAAGAGAGGAGAAGAAAAAGGTACGGTGATGCAAAGCATCGGGGTGGGTGGGCTGCAGGTTTCGTGTCTGTTGTTAGAGGCCAAGTTCCTTGGCGCACCCAATTACTGTCTCTTTCGAGACTTAATTCCTGATTTAAGAGTTCAGCAGTGCCGCACGCGGAGCCCCATCCCTTGTGATCCCTTCGGGATGGCGGTAGAAGTGCCCCGAGCTGCATATTCAGAGACACCTTCGTGACTTCTCGTGCCGTGACACCGAAACTAGATTTGCAATGTGGCTTCTTTGAATGACACTTGGTCCTCTGAAACACCTGCAGAAATCGGGCCGAAACGACTTTCTGGGCTTTGTTTGGGTCGGCCTGAGCCAGATGCAGCACGTTTAGCTCGGTGCGGTCGGCAGGCTCGCGGCGACGTTCGTTTACACCTCGGTGACTCCCGACCTTCTCCTCGGATCACGCGGCCTTCCCTGCACCCACGTTTTTTAGTCAGGTTTAAACGTTTCGCTGGCGCTGACTTGCCCCTTGGCACACTCGTAACAAAGTCAGGTTTAGTTCCTACGGGGAACTTTCTGTCCTGAAGCGCGTGGGATTTACCCCTGGTCCCTCACTCTCCCGGTTACTCCGGTTCAGAGCATGGAGAGGCTCTTCAGCTTCACGGTGCCTCAACAGTTGACTTTCCTTTTTGTCTGCAGGAGTGTTTATGGCCCAGAGAAACACTCTCTGAACCAGGGAGACAGGTGGAAAGAGCAACACAACATGGTTTTTAGCCTTTCCATGTGATTTCTGCTTGGATTTACCCTTGCCTTAGCTTTGTGTTTGACGATCATCAGGACTTCAGCTGTAAATCTCCATGTTAAAACTTGCACGTCCTTAGCGATGATTTAGTGGCTTTTTTGTTTTTTTCCTCTGAAACATTTCCTGCTTTTCTGTATGGCCTCTGAAATTCAGAGGCATAAATTAATCAGCTGGTTTTATTGTGTTAGAACTTGAGATTTTGGGCTGCAGTGCAGACTGCAGAGCCTGTCTTGATTGTCAGAGTGAGGTGTCTGCAAACCACACACAAAATACAGCACTTGGACTAATCTTTTCTTGAGTTTGGAGGGTTTTTTGTGTATTTTAAGTGAGATGTATGGAAATGCAGCACTCTTAGTTCCTTTCCTCTTGACATTATGCATTGCTAGTATATCACAATGAAAATATTATAGACACAGTTGTTCACTGATAACATGTTTTGCTTTGTTTCCTCTGCAAGGCTTGGCAAGGTGGATGTCGACTCCAATTCATTCACGTCCCAGGAGCTCAAAGAAGCTTTGGCTAAAATGAAGGAAAGTGAGAAGGCAGAAAGAAAGGTGAGAAGAGTTCGCTGTTTCTAAAGCAACTCACAGTACACGGAGGCGATCACCCTGCGTTACACGTCTCAGAAATACGATGGTTAAAGTAATGGCTGGGGAAAATACTGTGCCGACTCATCTTCTGGTGAACATGGGCCTAAAATACCTTTGCTGGCCTGTTAGTGATATACTTCCCTGGGAGACTCTCACCCCTTTTTGTACTAGTCCTGGGTTTTCTGTAAAAATGGAAGACTTTTGTTCAGGTCCGTTTTATTCATTTCAAACTTAAAGGCTGCTGTTAAGTACTTCAGTATATTCTCACAGTTCAGGGTGTTTCTCAGTAATAATTATGCCGTGGGCTGTCGAGGGGGAGATCATCTTCATGGCCTCCTCTGGACTCGCTCCAGCAGCTCCATGTCGTTCTTGTGTTGGGGACTCCAGAGCTGAACGCCAGCACTGCAGGGGGTCTCACGAGAGCAGAGCAGAGGGGCAGAATCCCCTCCCTCGACCTGCTGCCCACACTACTTTGGATGCAGCCCAGGACACAGTTGGCTTTCTGGGCTGCCAGTGCACGGTGCTGGCTCATGGTGAGCTTCTCATCAACCAGCACTTCCAAGTCCTTCTCCTTCATTCTCTGCCCAGCCTGTACTTGTGCCTGGGATTGCCCTGACCCATGTGCAGGACCTTACACTTGGCCTTGTTGAACTTCATGAGGTTTGCAAACGCCCACCACTCCAGCCTGTCAAGGTCCCTCTGGATGGCATCCCTTCCCTCCAGCGTGTCCACAACACCACACAGCTTGGTGTCATCAGCAAAGTTTCTGAGGGTGCACTTGATCCCACTGTCCATGTCACTGACAAGGATGTTAAACAGCACCGGCCTCCATACTGATCCCTAAATAGAACATGAGTGCTGCTTTCAGCCCTCTCCAGGCTTGAAGCTGGTCCCTAGCTGCTGGCATGACGCTGGTGGGATGATACGTGATCCATCAGGTGAATCCCAGCCTTTTTCCCCTCTTCCACTCAGCAGTGTTTCCATAGGCCCTTACTCCTCCTGCTACCTTGGCATTGTCTCAGTCCAAGGTAGACTGAGGTAGGAGTCAAGACTCTCAAGTCTTGAAGTTGCAGAGTCTTTTTTTCCCCCTATCTAGCACCAAGGCATTATTTAGTTTTCAAAAAGATTATTTATGTAGCAGCCAGCATTACTGATAGTGGGACTTCTTGAAATGAGTGTCATTTAAATGCAAAAATTAGTGATCCTCTGCTATGTGCAAATAAGCCTTATTTTAAAAACCCCCTGTTAGAACAGCTATTGTCCCAGCAACGGGGCTGAAAACAGTTACAGCTAATGGACCTAAAGTACTCCATTTAAAATCTCTCCTGCAGGGAGCAAATTCATCCTTGAAGTAACTGTGTCAAAGTAAATTGAGTTACACCAAGCGTGTTCCCGGCCGTGCTCCCGCAAAAGCCGTTCGGAGCGCTCGGGGAGGGGCTGGCGTTCTGCCGCCGCGCGGCACCGACAGTAATTAGGCCCATAGTCATTAGCGCCGATCGCACGGCTGCCCTTAGATTGACAGTGCTTCACTTCCATCCCTTAGTTTTTTAATTTTTTTCCCCTCTCCGATGGCTCGAGCCCTTGGCTCCTGTGGGGGAGCGGGGCGGTGCTGGCAGAGGGGAGCCCTGCGTGTGCAAACCCTCTCGTTGCGGGGTCGCTCCTGTATAAAACCATGTTTTGGTATCTTGTGTTTGTGGCAGAATCCCTTTCCAAAGGGGCTTTCTTGGTTTCTCCTGCTCTCGGGGCAGCTCGTTTCAGTCTGGCCTCTCTGCTTCCTTGGCTCTGACCCTGCCTGCCCCAGCGTCACCGGTTCCGACACTGGAGAGTTGGTCCCTGCCAGCTCTGGGGCTCTCTCAGATCTCTGGCAGAGCCTTTTCCTTCTCACCACATGCCCTTCCGCAGCTCTCCTGCTTCATCCAGCCCTTGGGATGCTGTTTGTACGAGGGGGACCAGCTGTCTCCTGGCCGAGCCCCACGCAGGACACTTCAGCTGCCCCCAACTTGCAGCTGGTCCCCTCTGCTTTGCTCTCTGACAGCTTCTGTCCCCAACAGCGAGTACATACGTGTTCCTAACAAAGCCATCCTGCAGCGTGTTGAGTGATTGGGATGACCAGATCTTCTTCGTCTGCGGCCGAGGAGATCTCCTTGATGTCACTGGTGTGGAGTCACTGGGTCGTTCAGGCTGGATGGGACCTCCGGAGGTCTCCAGCCCCAGCTCCAGCTCCAGGCAGGGTCAGCTGTGAGATCAGGGAGGTTGCTCGAGGCTTTTTTGCAACCAGGTCTTGAGAACGTCCACTTGCAGGCAAACGGAGCCAGCAGTGCTGCCTGCCTCTGGGCTTCGTGTGGGCTTGGAAGGCGCGTAGGATGCAGAAACGGTGTGCAAAGCCCTCAGTACAAGCTCAGCTCCTTGGGGAGTGCTTGCTGGTACCCAAGGTGGGTGTCTTACAGACAACTGGGTTCCTGGGCTTCTCAGAAGGGCCCCTCCAACGCTGCCCCTGCAACTCATGCACAGCAGTAAATCCTTTTGCACAGACAGCCGGGTTCCCCTTGTAAATCTGAGGCTGGGGTTCCTTTCTGTGTCCTTCTTGGCTCTATCACCTGCCTTCATACCTGGTTTCCTCCTTCTGCTTTCAAGGCCCACGAGGAAGAGGTGAAGAAGAAGTTCCGGCCCATAGAGCAGCTGAAGGAGGAGTTTGAAAAGCTGAACGTGAAGATGGAAACAGATTATGAAATTATGGTTAAATTAATTGGCAAATTCAACAGCTCTGCCTCCACGCTGGACGAAAAAGTAGCGGCGCTTTACGATCTTGAATATTATGTTCACCAGGTAACAAAAACGCGTTAGTAACGACTGTGTAAAATCCAGGGGATACGGTGTCATAAACGTGGGTTTATTTTTCTTATCGGTATCAGGTAATACAAATTGCTTAATTATCATAATCCTGGGACAATAACAGACAGCAGAGGGCTACTGCAGGCTCATTTTATAGCCAGGTTTGAATAAATCATCGCTCGTACCGTAGCGAGCGGGTTCCTAGGGGTTAGCGTTGCCTGGTTTGTTGTCTGTTCTCGGGCTGTTTTTCTTGCCCTCTCTTTTTCTTCTTTTATATGCTAAATAGTGTGAAGTGGGGGTTTATCTGCCGTTTTTCGGTAAGTATAGTGATGACTGTTAAAAAAAGTTATTTTCTCACTTCTTCTGGGGAAAGCCTCTGTGGTGACGGGTAGGTCCCCTTACACCAGTTCACAGAGAATGTCCTTGTTCCAGAGAAGATGACAGCCACCCAAACCCCCTGTATTTTGTCTCGGCGTGAGTAAGAAGTGGCACGTAGAGCCTCTCTCACAGCTGGGCCGATGGCGACAATGCCCAAAGGCTCAGGCGAAGGGCAAGCTGCTGAGCACCAGCTGAGCCACACTAATGGGCTCTGTGTGAGGCAGAATGTTTCCCGAAATCTCGCTTCCTCAGGTTTCTGCTCACACGTTTTTCCCCTTATCTCTCCTGCTCCCCTTCCAGCTCGCACGGTTTTACATGCCGTTGGTGGCAGGTGCGGGCACAGTGCTCTCCTCCCTGGTGCTCGGTGCCTTCCCACGCCGCAGTGGCATTGGGTGAGTGTCTGGGCATCAAGGCTCTATTCTGCCTCATAGGACAGGACTGGGCTTCTCCATCCCTGGAGCGGCCTCAGTGTCACTGATGGTGACTTTATCATTTCAGAGGGTGAATGGGACAACTCTTGGGAGGTGCCAGGGCAAGACCTTTCACTGGAACAACACTTCTTAAAGCCAAGCATGGTATTTTGGGCGAAGGTAGCTGAAGGAATGTGCTGTTGAGAGAGGGAGTCCGTGCACCAGCTAATAGAAGTGTTATTTCCAGGGCTCTTTGTCTTGGATTTGCACACTAAATCTCTGTCATACGCATGCAGAGACTTCCTTGCTGTTCGTTCTCAATGCTTTTGTTTCACTGACGGCATCTGTCTGACTCAGAGAATAAGTGTGAACAATGGGCGCCCAAAGAGCTTCGTATTTATACTCAGGGCTAATTCTGTCTGGTTAAGGGTGCCAGAGCATCAGGCCAGCATGCTAAAAAGCAACCCTCAAGCACCCTGGGATGCTTTGGATTCCAGCGTAACGATTTGGACTATTCCAGCATCAAATCCTGCCTTCTTGCAGCACAGGATGGGGCAAACAGTTTCAGAAAGGCGAGAGGAGCAGGGAAGCACTCCCCGCTCCCTGCGCGGGGCCCGGAGCATCAAAGGGAACCACATCCAGCATCAAAGGGGTCAAAACGGGGGAACGGCGGGGAGGCTGGCGGGGAGCACAGTGGGCTCCTTTGTGCATCGATCACAACGTCGCTCTGTGCCCGCGCTGTCGGGGCAGATGGCTGGGCAGCACCTTCTCATCAGGCAGGAAGCTGATAAGAAATATGACTTGTCTCTAAGCCAGCATGGCTTTTCCTCCTCTTTCTTCTTCCAGCCAGTTGAATGCGTCCAGAGCATTATCTCTGCTTGGTACTGACTTTAGCAGAACTGCCTTAATGTGATTACTGAGTAGCAGCCAAATGCGCTTGTGCCGCGTAGCCCTGGCAGGGCTGAACTTGTCAGGAGTCCTCTGCGGCGAGGCACGGCCCTGCTGGGGAGGACGGGGATCCTCGCAGGGGTGGGTGGCCCCGGGCACCACGTACCTGCGTGGGGGAGCGCTGAGGGCTCGGAACGGTAACGTGCCACGGCTTTCGATAATCCATCGCCTCCCGGCCGTCCTGCTGCTGCCTCCGGGGCACAGAACGCCCCCTCGAGTGGAAAATGCCATGGCCTGGAGGGTTTGAAAGCAAAAGATGCTCTCTGCTCCGTGGCGTGGTCGTGAGCATCCCGGAGCGCTGGGACACGAAGCAGCGCGTGCCCGCGGGCTCGCTGCGAGGGAGCGCAGGGGAAGCGGTGGCCGGTGCTGAGCCAGAGGAGAGACGTTCTCTCCTGCTCTTGAGGAGTCAGCCCAAGGGCTCTGTGTTTTTGCTCAGCTTTTAGTTGCCAGCTCTGGTTTGCTTCTCATCAGTCAGGATTCAACTTGGCATGTTTGGGAGCCCGTCCTGGAGGACGAGCAGGAAGGTTTGGCTTGCGAGGTTATCTGTAACGCATAAAAACCGAATGTAAATGGGAAGAGGCCGGAGCATAACTCATTTATAACCAGAATTCACGGTGCTTGCACAGCAGCGTGCAGAGCCAAGACCCGTTCTCGTGCGTTGCAGGCTCTTTCTCTCAATTATTTACTCTCCTTATCTTCCTCTCTCCCCTCCTCTGACATGCTACACCATTTCTCACTGCTAATTTCCCCTCCGTTGCCTACGGTTGACATGCTGCTTCTTCCTCGCTCTCGTTTTCTAACATGTTCCCTCTCGCCTCCCCTCCCTGGTTCCTTTCTTCTCCGCTCTGAAGCGGCTCCCTGAATAACTGCTGTCGGATTTGCTCTGCTCCCATCCCTCTCCTCGCCCACCTCGCCTGTGTACTTTACTCCAGAGCTCTTTTGATCTTTGCCTTGCTTCCATGCTGGTTTCGGTGGTCTGAACGAGGCACGAGCTGCTGCCTCGCAGCATCCTCCGCTCCCCGGAGAGGTTAATACCTTCACGTCGTTGGGTTTGGGGGTTTTGTCGGTTTTAAAACGGTGAGTGAGGAAAAGAGCTCTCACAACAGACTCCAGTTAAAAAAAAAAATAAAATACACCTTCAAAATAAGCTTTATGGCACAATTTATGTTCTGCAGTCGAGGTGTCTCACCGACGCTGGGGGTGGCCTGAGGAGCTCTGGTGCTGATGAGGATACAGGGACGATTGGTTTTACCACGACTGGTGCTGGATGCAAACTTCTGCCTGTCTGTGCATTCGCTCTTGAGCAGAAGCTGATGTCCAATTCCAGCGTTAAAACAGCCTCGGAGTTTTTGCAGAGGCTGAGCAATAAAAGGATAAAATTGGGTTGCTGCATGGATTTCTTTGTAGACAGAGATGGACCTGCAGAAAATTGAGAGGTCTGGCAGGTCCAGTTTATAGGGACAGTTAAAAGAATAGGATCTGAAAGGCTACAGAAGCTGCTGCGAATCGTTAATCAGCCCCGGCAGACCGGCAGAGATGGGCTTTCTGCCGACAGCGAGCGGTGGGCATTGTCCCCCTGGGGAGAAGAGACGAGCCGTGGCTCCCCTGGTCCTGCTTTGGTAAAGACATACCCGTAGGACATAAAGCAGGAGCTGCGTCATTCCATTAGGTATCTCAAATATCCAACTTATGGCTAATTTTGGTTGAGATAAATATAACGCTGAGCATGAAGTCGCTGTCGAGTAAAGGAGTTCAGGCTGGAGCGCGGTGCCTGAGCCCGACGGACCCTGCACGCCGGGAGGTGTTTGTCCTGTCCCACCCCGTCGGTGGGGTCTGCTCGCTGAAGCCGACGAGGTCGATTTGTCCAGCTGATAACTTGGTTTTATGTTCTATTTCCATCCGCCGAGACATGCCGTTGTCTCCCTGTCTTTCAGGGAGGAGAAATGTTGGAATTCTAAACCCGGTTATTTTGCACATGCAATTCGGAGCGTTCGTCAGATTCCCGATTAAACTGCAAAAAAAAAAAAAAAAAAAAAAATCCTTGAAAACCAAGGTGCATTGATTTGACTTCTGACTGCATTTTGTACTTGAAGCACTTTGCACTGTTGCTTGAAATTTTGTTTGTGAGCCACTGGGAGCTCTTTTTTCATCTCCTCTCCGAGAACAGATGCCCACTGCGATTTGTGCCTGGTTAGCCCCGAGTCTGCTCAGAGTCAAAGACTGAGGAATCTCCACTAATGCCTAAACTTTTCCCTGCTGGCAGTCAGTCCAATATCATCTGCTTTGGAAAAATCACTGCTCGGGCTGCCCCGAGGGGAAGCTCCTGGCTTACCCTTCAGGGACCAGCTCTTTCTTTTCACGCCCACGTGAAGTTGTTACTTGTGAAAAGCGCCCAGGACCGCCCATGCGAGCGGAGGTGATGCTGCTCGTGTACCAACAGGCTCTTAAACATCCCTAACTCCTGGTGCTCCAATTAGAGCGTCAATTAATTAATTGCATTTGCAAAACATACGATTCCCTGGGTTCCCGGTAATGGTCTGCTCAGGTGAGAGAGCAAAGAACTGGTTTTTTTTTTGACATCACCTGGATTACTGAAATACGTGTCCAGAATAGTTTGGATAGCTAATCAAAGGATTTGAGTTTTCAGTGATGCCTTCTCGTGGGATAATAGTAGACTGTGCTTCTGCAACCAGCACATCCCCTGCTCACGGACATTATTATACGGAATTCAAGCCACGGTTGTTCCCTCTTCATTTTTAATTGCTTTGAAAACTTGGCACTGGTTAGACTGGGAGGGGGGAGACGCTGTGCAAGGCGTTCTCAAAGAGTTCTTGAGTGGAATCTGGCTGGGGTTTTTGTCCTGACTGGGGACCTGCTCTCTCCCAGGTGGACAATGCCAAGGACTTCCTCTCCATGGGTGGACTCCAGCTTGTGATCGAGGGGCTGAACAGCAGCGAGGCCGCGCTGAAGGAGCACGCTGCCTTCGTCCTGGGCGCTGCGCTGTCCAGGTGAGCTCTGTCCCACCACGGGTGGGAGGGTGAAAACCTCGGGAGATCAGACGGGCTCTGTGCTTCTCTTCATCGCTCTTGATTTATTTCTAATAGCAGGAGCTGAAAGCTTGTGTCATCCTGCGACACACCAAATTGTCCTCTCCCCTGCTTAGCCCTTGCCTTGCAGCACCACTGACCCTGGTCTTCTCCTCAGCGCGTCCTCGTCCTGCTCGCTAGACTTAGCCAGAAGTAATTTGGTGTGGAAGCTATGATTGTTTCTTGATTGCCCTGGGCTCCTTGTTTTTACAAAGTCCAAGGGGGATAATTCTGCCTACTCCTCCCTTGGCAGTCCTCTCTGGGGGGAAGATCTGGAGGATGGTGCGGTTACAAGCGCCCCAGGGAACACCTTTCTCCCTCCTCTTCCTTTCTCCTGTGATGCTTTAAGACAGCAAGATGCTGATTTCAGAAATAAAGCACTTCCCATGACCTTTGGAGGAGAGTTTTTATCCCCATGGACACGTGCCTCTGACATCAAAGGGGTGGCAATTACACATGAGGTTAGGAACGGATCCTCAGGCTGAATCAAGAAGAGACTGGTCTGAGGGGTGTTTGTGGTTCATTGAAAGGTGGCTGTTGCCCAAAGGAGCCCAATCGGCCTCATGCTTTGGCTTAGCATGTCGTGCTGTGGGTGGCACCACCTGGCCAGGCTGAATCAAGAAGAGACTGGTCTGAGGGATGTTTGTGGTTCATTGATAGGTGGCTGTTGCCCAAAGGAGCCCAGTCGGCCTCATGCTGGGACGTAGCGTGTCGTGCTGCGGGTGGCACCACCTGGGCTCCATGGGTTTTGCCCTTGTTGTTTTATGGGTTTGGGGCTTTGTGGTGTGTGTTGCACACTCTCAGGTGCAGAGGCTTTTGAAATGCATTGGATGGAGCCAGACTTCAAGGTCAGAAGTGCAGAGTGAAGATTGAAAGTCAGGACTGTTATATCTGCATATTTCTACGCCTAAAAATACGGTCACCTTCTCCACCATCATAAATTATTTATCACTTAGTCTAATATATAGTCTACAAGTCTACACTTCTGTTGCAACCTTGTATACGATGCAGGTGGTCCTCAACATGTGTGGAGTAATATGGCCTCGTGGACAGCAGTGGGTACTCGGATTTACACCAGGAGAGGATCCAGTTTATAGTCTGAAACAGTGC